GACAAGACAAGTAGGGCCCACGTCTCTCTCTCTCTCTCTCTCTTGCAACACAGCTTTTCACATAAAACCATGAAGCTGACTACAGATTACAACTGCTACTTATTTCTTTTTTTTCAGTAAATCAAGCTTAGAGCAACTCTACTCATTTGTCCGTAGTTATGAAAAGAGAGGAGCTAGAGCAGCTACTATTTAAGTGAATAGTAATTGTCCTTGCAAATAGTATTTTCCGTTTCCACCCGTTGTCATGGCAAAGGGCAATTACAATTTATTTTTTTATTTTTTTCACAACTTTTTTTACCACAATAATTAATTTGGATAAGATTTTCGGGTTTTTACGTGTCAATACTATTCATATCTCATAATCGGATAAAATTTTCAATTACAAATTTCAGATAAATTAAAAAAAAATTTGGTTGGTATTTATAGAAAAAAATTCATTAATTTTTGGGTATTTTTTAAAAAAAATTTCCGACAAAAATATTCCGAATTTTTTCCAGTATTTTATTGCAAAAAAATTGGCAATCGTTGGATTGGAGGAAAAAAATCAGATCGGAGAACCTAGACGACGCCACATGGCAACAGAAAAAAAAAATCAAATCAGTCTATAATTAACAGAAGTTACAAAAATTTGACAGAAATTGAGGATTGTCCTTGAATCGCTTCAAATTGAAACTACAGGGACAAAATTGACCAAATTGAAACGACATGGACCAAAGTGGTAAAAGTGAAAAACTACAGGGACCAAAAGTGACTTTTTGCCTTATTTAAGCAAAAACAAAACTCATTAATACCACGTTGATATTGGTCCATCAATGTAAACAAAAAAAAAATTATTGGTCCATCAATCATGATCTATCTCCAAAAAGAAAATAAAAATTAGGACAGTCACTATTCACATGCATAGTAGTTGCCCTTGCAAATAGTATTTTCCGTTTCCACTCGTTGTCATAGCAAAGGGCAATTACTATTCATTTTTTTATTTTTTTACAACTTTTTTTACCACAATAATTAATTTGGATAATATTTTCGGATAAGATTTTCGGGTTCCTACCTGTCAATACTATTCATATCTCATAATCGGATAAAATTTTCAATTACAAATTTCAGATAAATTTTAAAAAAAAAATTTGGTTGGTATTTATAGAAAAAAATTCATTAATTTTTGGGTATTTTTTTAAAAAATTTCTGAATTTTTTCCAGTATTTTATTGCAAAAAGATTGGCGGCCGTTGGATTGGAGGAAAAAATCAGATCGGAGAGCCCAGACAACACCACGTGGCAACAGAAAAAAAAAATCAAATCAGTGGGGGTACTGTAGCGCTGACGTTAGCAGCCCTCGTTTTGGACCTCAAGCTGAATATGCCTTCGGGCCAGCCCGAGTTGGTGGGTCCCCCCCCCCCTCGGGCCTGGACTGACAACTGGAACAACTTTTTTTTTCCCTCCTAGCCTTAGGCTAAATCCACTGCTGGACTTGCTCTTAGAGCAACTCCACCAATTTGCCCTTAGCTATGGCAGGGGGGAGCTAGGACAGTCACTATTCACGTGAATAGTAGTTGCCCTTGCAAATAGTATTTTGTGTTTCCACCCGTTGCTATGGCTAAAAGCAATTACTATTTAATTTTTTTGTTTTTTTCACAAATTTTTCTACTTCAATAATTAATTTGGATAATATTTTCGGATAAGATTTCCGGGTTCCTACGTGTCAAGACTATTCATAATCGGATAAAATTTCCGGATAAGATTTTTGGGTTCAAATTTTGGATGAATTTCAAAATTCAAATTTCAGATAAATTTCAAAATTCAAATTTCAGATAAATTTGGGTTCAAATTTCATATAAATTTCAAATTTCAAAAAAGATTTTCATCCAATCAAATCAAGCCACGTGGCATCTCTATCTTGCCAAAATTTTCTATAAAACCAAACGCTCAGCTCATACCTCTCACACAATATCTTTCTATATTTTCATTTCTCAGAGTTTAGAATTCATACTCCATTCATTCTCAATGGAAGATTTTAGGAGATGCTTGGAGAGGTAAGAGCGAGAAAGAAATGAGAGAAACCATAGAGCAGATGAAATCAATGAGTTGCAGAGAGAAGTCAATGAACAAGTTGTCATAGCAGTGGCTTTGCAAGATGAAAAGAACCAAGGTCCCAACCGTGGTTTACAAGTCAGCCGCCGCCGGAATGTGGACAAACATAGGCATTCTCGGAGTAAGAATCTTTTGGAAGATTATTTTATCCCAATTTCTTTGTACACTGAGGTTGATTTTCAAAGGCGATTTAGAATGCAACCATATTTGTTCAATAAAGTCATGCATGATATTTGCAATTATATTGCATACTTCGTTCAAAAGTGTGATGCTGCTGGAGTTTTGGGGCTTATTCAAAATTTTCCACCTACTAGCCAATGTCATTTCCGTACGAGCCGAACTTGATCTTTCACAAAATTTGGCAAGAATTCTTCTCCATATATGAGAGAATTTCATCTCATTGCTCGTGATCGAACAATGACCAACTTGGACCCACTGATCAGAGTGTCCTGGTTGCGATACGTGGCACATGCCCGTTGGATTCTATCAGCGTTGACGTCACAGTCCTCAGGCTGAAGCCCAGGTGAAACCTGCCCTTGGGCTTGCCTTGGCTGGTGAGACCCAGATCTTGCCCGGGCCTGGTCTCTTGCAGTAGAAGGTGTTTGGGCTTGCTAGGGGGGCTTCTTGCTCGAGTTTGGTGCAGCGGTGGAGCTGCTCTAATATATCGAAAAATGTCCACATTGTTCACGTGTCCCGTGGCCAAGGGCTCGTTTAGCTGTCAACCGGTTTACCGACGTCACCATACAGCTGTCCTCGTATTATGCAAGTCGTGCTACTAGGATGACGTCATTCGGACTTTGAACTGGATCGGCCTAACTCCTCCGTGGTGAAGTTTTCTTTGGTTTAGTACGGTTTGTGGGTTCCTACTGTCTCCCAATTGCTCGCTGCTTCCTATTTCCCATTAAAGATATTTGGGCTTTCTATGAACTTTTTACTCCACAAACAAATCTCTACATTCCCTTTTATGGAAATTACATTTGATAATAATTAAATTTCTTCTACTGCCTAAAAATTTATCTGAATATTTGCCCCGAGTTCTCAAATTTTCACCCCAAGTTTATGATATCGTATTAATTAAGACTATTTTATTCATGCATATGAGGTTTAAGCTCGACTCCTCCCTTCCTGACTATCGCTTATATATAAAAAATAATTATTGTAATCGAAATTATATTTTCACAGTTTGACTTGGCCTCCTTACTATTTTCCTTGCCATTTTCTATTTTGAAGTATATGATTTATTGCAGGATTTGAGTTGGGCACCACCTCACACACATTGCACACATTGCATTAAAAAACGTGACAAATTTGGTGACCAAAAACTCACACGTGCTAAATACCCACTTTTCTTAGTTTAGTAAGTCAAGCCAAAGTCAAAGTCAAATTAATCTATTTTCTCTAGAATCCTCCTTGTTTTCCAGTGTGAACACGTCCACAGTGGGCCACTCATTTCTATGGGGCGTCTCGCCATCTCATCACACTCCGTGTTCGCGCGTTCACTTCACATAAACATGGCCCAACCCAAATCTATGAAAAAGCCCCCACCACACTCGAACTCTCTCCATTTTCAGCTCAGAAAAAACCCAACCCTACTATACTAAAACACAAAGTCGCAAAGCTTTAGACTAAGACCTTGCAAAAATGGATATGATCTACAGCCAGGTCTCTGATTTGGCTTCTCTGGAAAACCCGGATAAGTCGTCGTTTTCGGACGCCAGCGTCACGGCCCGGCGAGCTTCTCTTTCAGATGAGGCGGTCATACTGGCGTCCAGCTGCCCGAAAAGGCGGGCGGGGAGGAGGGGTTTCAAGGAGACCAGGCACCCGGTTTATAGGGGTGTGAGGAGGAGGAACAACAACAAGTGGGTGTGTGAGCTGAGAGAGCCCAACAACAAGAAGGCCAGGACATGGCTCGGGACTTATCCGACAGCTGATATGGCGGCTCGTGCCCATGATGTCGCTGCATTGGCGTTTAGGGGGAAGCTTGCCTGCCTCAACTTTGCTGACTCGGCTTGGCCGCTGCCCGTGCCGGCCTCCACCGATGCCGCGGGGATTAGGAGGGCGGCCACCGAGGCGGAGGATGGTGGTGTTTATGAGAAGGAGAGTAAGGCGGTGGTGAGCGAGGAGAAGGGTTGTGTAGAAATGGAGGGAAGCAGCAACTTTTTTTATTTGGACGAGGAGGAAATATTTGAGATGCCAAGGTTGCTTGATGACATGGCTGAAGGGCTTATGCTTTGTCCACCTCAATGTTTAGATGGCCACATGGATTGGAATGACGTGGAAACTGATGATGATTTGAAACTGTGGAGTTTTTCTATTTGATCGACCTCCATAGAAATCCCTCAATTGAAAGTTGAAACTGTGGAGTAAATGAGAATGATTATAATTTGTAGGCCCTACTTACTTTATTTTTTAAATGGAAATATATTTGTGTTTTAGACCCTACTTACTTTTGCTATGACTACCACTCTCTCACACCTCATTCTCTCTAGACCATCAACTTTTCAACTTTTACTCTCTCTCTCTCTCTCTCTCTCTGCTTTGTTGATAAGGTTTTGATTTAGAGCATTCACAAGGATTCTCTATATTTCTTAACTAAAATTTAGCTAAAAATATAAGAAAGCTATTTTAGGAGCTCTCTAAAAAATTTCAACTCCAACCATACTTCTTAATTTAGAGAGTCATAAATGCTATAATTCTTTTTTCATTGGTCCATCTCTATTAAAAACATAAAATAAAAAATAGTTAGTATTAAATAAAGATTTGAAATACTCATTAAATAAAGCAGCATTAAATTATAGGAAGTCACTAGGAGTCTTTTCTCTCTCCTCAGATTTATGAGTTCCTAGAAGACTCTCTATTTTATGAGATAGATAGGGAGCATGGTTGGAGTTATATTTTTACAATTCCTCTCTAAAATTTGTCTCATGAGCTGATTTAAGGAGCCCATTTTGGATGCTTTTATAGTAATAAAATATCACGTTTGAAAAGCACCCATTTTTCTATTAAATGCAGAACAAAATAGTATTTTTATCATCTGAATATTTCTTTCACTCAAAAAAATTAAAATAAAAACTAAAAAACATTCTTCATATCCTTGTCATCGCTAGAGGGTGGGTATGATTTGAGCAGCGGTGTGGGTTGTGAGAGCGCCATCAGTTGTTGTGGGGGTGGTGGGTTAATTGACTCGGTGTCGGGTGGAGGTAATCCATAACTTTGTTGAAATATTTAGATGGTGAAAAAAAAATTAAAAAAAAAACCATTTTTCCCCTACATTTAACATACAAAGTTAACAAAACTAATGACATGATCATTTCTTCTAACAAAACTAACATTAAAGGATCATAAGAACAATTTTAAAAAGTAAAAAACCAAAATATGAACCAAGTCAAAATTCAGGTACCATTCAACCTAAAATACCCCCACTTGCCCCCCACTTTACTTAGCTGTGTTAGTTCAGTGTGTTTCCCGCCACGTGGCAGAGCCAAGTCTAATCTGTTTGTGGAAGGAACCTGCTGAGCCACATTCCGACCTTGCTCCACTTGCCTCCTCACACTCCGTGTTCTCGTGTCCACACCTGGGCCCACCTGCCACGCAATCCCTAATCTATAAAAGCCATTCTCCCTCACTTCCAATTTCAGCTCAAGAAACTCAAACAAGCTAAAACACTAAACCATTCATACAGAAAGCTTACTCTAATGGACATGTTCTTCTCTCAACTTTCCGACTCGGTCGACCAGCCCGAGTCGAGTTCGTTGTCCGACGACAGGGTCACCACTCGGGGGGCTTCTTGTTCCGCCGGGGATATGGCTCGGGACTTATCCGACGGCGGAGATGGCTGCTCGTGCCCATGACGTGGCGGCATTGGCGTTTAGAGGGAAGCTTGCCTGCATCAATTTCGCTGATTCCGCGTGGAGGCTACCTGTGCCGGCTTCCATGGATACCATGGATATTCGGAGAGCTGCCGCGGAAGCAGCGGAGGGGTTTAGGCCGGCGGAATTTGGTGGAGTGTGCAGCGGCAGCAGTGATGAGAAGGAGAGAATGGTGGTGCAGGTGGAAGAGAAGAACAAGAAGGGTAGTGTGAACTTGGAAAGAAGCAGAAGCTTGAGTTTGTCCTATTGGGATGAGGAGGAAGTGTTTGACATGCCCAGGTTGCTTCATGACATGGCTGAAGGGCTTCTTCTTTCTCCATCGCAATGCTTAGGTGGCTACATGAATTTGGATGACATGGGAACCGATGCTGATGTCAAATTGTGGAATTTCTCCATTTAATAATCGACGTTTATTTTAGTCGATTATTAGAATTTATTTATTGTTTGATTCTTATACGTTTATTTATTTGTAACGAAAAAGATTAACGTCAGTCGTTTATTGTGAGTGTATAGATTATATATATATTTTTATATATTTGGGGTCGAGATAGATATTTTGGGTTGTATACAGTACAAAAAGTTTTCTAATTTTGGAATTATTTGATGGAAAATACTTCCCTCCTTATCATGTATGCAGGAGCTCCAAAATTTCTTCCCATAACAGACATTTATGAAAGTATGGGTTAAATTTTAGCAATTTTTAATATAAAATAAACTTAATTTATAACTCGTGACATTTTAACCTATCTATTTTTTTAAGTTTAAATTTTTATACAGTTAACATTAAGTTTTTCTTTCTACAAAATGTTTTTATATCTCATTTTTTAAACTCGTATTTTCATTTGAAATAAATAAGGGAAGACACGAAAAATTATAATTTTACGCATCTTTTATTACTAATTCAAATCTGAACATGAAAAAGACCATCAATAAACGATTGATGTTTAAATGTAATTGATACGTACAAGTCAATCACTACTAGAAAAGCTCGATATAAGCCAAGCATACCCATGACCAATATGGTGGGATTCTAACTTTACTGGGTTACTTTATTTACATTGCACGGTTTATTACCTCTTTCTCCCTTGTCGTCTCTCTCTCCCTTCAATCTCTCATACATAGCTCAAGCCACCACACATGGCCGCCCAACTCTCCCGTGAGAGAAAATTCCGTTAACTTTAGCTATTATTGTATCTTTTTCAAGATTCATTATAACTAACTTAGATATCAGAGGGCCTTTGGCCAACACCCTAGATGTAGTCTGTTGACTTAGATTTGTTTTACATGAACCAGTGGAGAAGAAAGAGAAGGACAAGAATCTACTGGCGAATATTTCCCGGGCAGAATTTGCTCGAACACCCAACAACAAGCAGCACAGGACATTGCTCGGGGACTTATCTGACGGCCGAGATGGCGGCTCGTGCCCATGGCCATGACATCGCTGCGTTGGTGTTTAGAGGGAAGCTTGCCTGCCTCAACTTTGCTGACTCCGCTTGGCGGCTGCGTGCCGGCCTCCACCGATGATGGGGAGATTAGGAAGGCGGCTGAAGCGTTTAGACAGGCGGAGGGTAGCGGAGTTTCCGGCGGTGTTGATGGGAAGGAGAGTAAGGCGGTGGTGAGTGAGGAGAAGGGTTGTGCGAGAATTGAGGGGAACGGCAGCTTGTTTTGTTTGGATGAGGAGGAAGGAATTGTTTGACATGCGAAGGTTGCTTGATGACATGGCTGACGGGCTTATGCTTTCTCCACCTGAATGCTTAGATGATTGGGATGACGTGGAAACTGCTATTGATTTGAAACTGTGGAGTTTCTCTATTTGATCGACGTCTGTATATGCAATGCATCCCTAAGCAATCTTTTTTTTTTTTGTCACTTCCCTAAAGCTATCTTTACGATGTCATATTATTAGACATCTCTCGTTTGTTTTATATGTAGTCGTTGATATATGAGTAAAATCAGAATGATTGTAGGCTTTTTTATTTTTTAAATGGAAATATTTTTGTGTTTTATACCCTACTTACTTTTGGTGTGACTAGCAACCACTCTCTCACCCCCTTTTCTCTCTCCTATGGCTTTCGGTCTGATCATCTCTATCATTTTTATCAGGAAAATTTTATTGTGGTAGGGATAATACTATTTTCAATCAATAATATAATATTATTTTGTGTGTTATTGCGTGATTGGTAAATCATAATAAAAAGTGTTATATTCCGTACCATGAAAGTGTCTCCCCTTCTGTAGACCATCGACTTTTCAACTTTTCAACTTTTACTATGCATTGTTATGTTTTTTTCAAAAGTAGAAGTGAATTCATTCACAAATAAAAATGTTTACATATTCCTCAAGAGTCATAAGGGCGTCATAAGTATTCTATCCTTTTTATTATAGAGAAAATGGTATTGCATTTAAAGTGAATAGAATTCAAGTTAACTACCCATGCGAAACCAAAATTCAATTTAACAAGCTTTGATTAGTTTTACTTGTCTAGAAAATGGGAAAAAAAAAACAGGTTCATAGCTTCTTTTTTTCCAGATGACTGTAGAAACATAGTCGTCCCTCTTTCGCTGCCATCTCATATATATATATATATATAGTACATATATTGTAATCATCTAACTGTCTATTTTTTTAGGTATTTCTCCAAAAAGCATTTCTTAAAGTAAAATCCTGAGTAACCCCTACAAAGGATTCGTTAAATAAACTTATATAAGCAATCAAGCATTAGGCTCTTGGTGAGTTAATATGATGGTAGCAACTTATTTAAATCACTAGACTGTGTCAAATAAGTGATCCAATCTGTTTATTTATTTAATTCATTATTTAAGGAACATCGCCGCAGAAGAAAAAAAACAAAAAATAGGCCAAATTGGAAATCGTTGAACCTTTTACTTATTATTGAGAATATTTTCATTGTTCGTCGGAAATCATGTGTTTGCCCTTTTCTTTTTTCTTTTCAGTCAGACAAAACAAAATAGTTAAATGAGTAATGTTCGGCTAAAATATCCAGTCTCTTGTCAGTCAGACAAAAGAAGAAAATCGGAAATCATGTGTTTGCCCTTTTCTTTTTTCTTTTCAGTCAGACAAAACAAAATAGTTAAATGAGTAATGTTCAGCTAAAATATCCAGTCTCTTGTCAGTCAGACAAAAGAAGAAAAAAATAAAAATAAAATATTGCAGGATCCCGGCTGGGATTTGGACGGGAGCCACGAACCGCACACGTGAATGACAAAACGGGCCAATAGCAACCCACTTTACTTCGCTTAGTTAGTTTAGTGGCTCAGTGTGTATTACCCGGCACGTGGCGGAGCCAGGACAAATCTATCTTACTTAGCTCCACTCCATTCCCAATCCCCCTTTGTCTGTTCTCTGTTTTGTGGTGGGAGCTTGCTAAGCCACATTTCCACCTGCCCCACCTGCTTCCTCACTGTCCGTGTCGTCGTGTCCGCTCTTGGGCCCCCAAC